CATTTCTATTGAAAGTTATCCATCGGTAAGAAAATAATTGAAAGAATTTTCTTAAGAAAAAGTCAGATGCAGTAAATAAAAAAAGTAAGTGGTAAGCGAATATAAACAATCGGAAGAATCGCTCGATTTGAATTTCAGGCGGTGACAAGCGGCGTTGCGCGGGGGAAGGAGAATGGAGGCGGCGGAGGAAGTTGGCGATAATAAGAACCCCTCGAAAACAGAGGCGGCAAATGAATCGAAGGAGGGAGCCAAGGGGGAGGAGGAACAACTCCGTATTCTCTCGGTGGACAAGGTTACGGTGGAGAAGATCGTCTTGGAATCCTCGAGCGGCTCGCGAGAGGTGCTCTTAACGAAAAATGAGAGTTCGAAGAAACTTTCGATAAAATCGGGGCTCGAAAAGCCGGTTCCCAGGCGATCCAAAGACAAGCGCAACGAGTCGACGAGCGCGGATAAGTATCGCTCTTCCCTTCCCGAGGATATTATTGCGTTCGACGCCTGTTCGAAGGAGGGGGCGAGAAAGTCGCGAAACACGGAGAGGATCAAACCGATCAAATTGACCAAGAGCCCGTCCATAGGCAGCTTAACGATCACAGGTGTCCCCGTGGGGAGGACGGAGAAACAGGACAAAGCGGAAGAAGAGACGAGCAGGGCTGAATCGACGGACGTCAAGGTAGCCGATGAGGATAAAGAGAATCGAAGAAAGCGGGTGATCGGGGATAAACCTGGCGAGGAAGGGGAGGAAATCGAGAAGATCGACGCGAGAAATCTGTTGGAGAAGAGCGAAACGAATATCGAGGTACTCCAACAGAACCTGAACACGAAGATTGACGCGAGCACGGCGCGCAGGTACAAGAAGAAGTTGCTCGAGTCCCGGGAGAATCGGCGTCTAAAGTTGCCCGTCGTCGTCGTCGACTCGAGCGAGAAGTTTGTGAACAGGATCGCGTTCGACGAGGAGTTTCTACAGAAGCATAATCTCGACAAGAGATTGAAGATCGAGGAGTACGGGTTGCTGGACACCGATCTTGGAGGATCGGGCGGGGAGCGGCGGGGAACGGA